AGCTCCGCTGTCGACTTTGTCGAGCGGAGCTTATCATATGAGTGATTGTCCGTCGTCGTCCGTGTCAATGTTTTACTTTTTTGACTTCTTCTTGAAAACTACAAGCCTGAATGCTTTGATACTTGGTGTATATGTACCTTGGGTAGACCTTTCTCAGATTTGTTCATTTCATGATGATATCTTCAATTTTCTAATTTTGGTGAATATTTTTGTCATTTTTGGTAAAAAGTGATATTTTCGACTTCTTGTTGAAAACCGCAAGTCCAATTGCTTTGATATTACATATATAGGTACTACATGTGTACCTCTCTCAGATTTGTTCATTTTGTAATGATATCTTCAATTCTCTAATTTCGGTGAATATTTTTGTAATTTTTGGTAAAAAGTGATATTTTCGACTTCTTGTTAAAACCGCAAGTCCAATTGCTTTGATATTACATATATAGGTACTACATGTGGAAATCTCTCAGATTTGTTTATTTTGTAATGATATCTTTAATTCTCTAATTTTGGTGAATATTTTTGTCATTTTTGGTAAAAAGTGATATTTTCGACTTCTTGTTAAAAACGACAAGTCCAATTGCTTTGATATTATTACATATATAGATACTACATGTGGACCTCTCTCAGATTTGTTCATTTTGTAATGATATCTTTAATTATCTAATTTTGGTGAATATTTTTGTCATTTTTCATAAAAAGTGATATTTTCTTGTTAAAAACCACAATCATTTATGGTGAAAAATGATATTTTTGAATTCTTGTTGAAAACATTAATTTTCATTTTCTAATGATATCTTCTGTTCTTTAATTGAAATTTGCATCGCTAACAGTGGAGCTATCTCAGCTGAGAGGCTGCTTGTTTAAATCTTTTTTGGGGTGGTCCTCGGGTAAGCGCCCACCCCCAATTTTTCCCGATTTTGTATGTTCAGGCCTCTGGGTGCGTGCCCGGGGTAATACGGTATATGACTAAATATGTAGATGGAAGGTAATCATAGTATATGACTCCATATGTGGATGGTAGGTAATCATAGTATATGACTCAATATGTGGATGGTAGGTAATCGTAGTACTGTGGAATACTTTATTTTCGCTGGAATTAATTTTCGCTGAAAAGGCTTTTTGGGCGTTTTGCTTTGAATTTATTTTCACTGATTTTTCATGAGTTTAATGTGGAATATAGGAAAAAAAGTATATTCGCTGGATTTTATTTTCACGAAATCATCCCTTCAGCGAAAATAGCGAAAATAAATTCCAAGCGAAAATAAAGTATTCTACAGTATATGACTCAATATGTGGATGGTAGGTAATCGTAGTATATGACTCAATATGTGGATGGAAGGTAATCATAGTATATGACTCAATATGTGGATGGTAGGTAATCATAGTATATGACTCAATATGTGGATGGTAGGTAATCGTAGTGTATGACTCAATATGTGGATGGTAGGTAATCGTAGTATATGACTTAATATGTGGATGGAAGGTAATCATAGCATATGACTCAATATGTGGATGGAAGGTAATCATAGTATATGACTCAATATGTGGAGGGAAGGTAATCATAGTATATGACTCAATATGTGGATGGTAGGTAATCATAGTATATGACTCAATATGTGGATGGTAGGTAATCGTAGTGTATGACTCAATATGTGGATGGTAGGTAATCGTAGTGTATGACTTAATATGTGGATGGTAGGTAATCGTAGTATATGACTCAATATGTGGATGGTAGGTAATCATAGTATATGACTCAATATGTGGATGGTAGGTAATCGTAGTGTATGACTCAATATGTGGATGGTAGGTAATCGTAGTATATGACTTAATATGTGGATGGAAGGTAATCGTAGTATATGACTCAATATGTGGATGGAAGGTAATCATAGTATATGACTCAATATGTGGATGGATGGTAATCGTAGTATATGACTCAATATGTGGATGGTAGGTAATCATAGTGTATGACTTAATATGTGGATGGAAGGTAATCGTAGTATATGACTCAACATGTGGGTGGAAGGTAATCGTAGTATATGACTCAATATGTGGATGGTAGGTAATCATAGTGTATGACTCAATATGTGGATGGTAGGTAATCGTAGTATATGACTTAATATGTGGATGGAAGGTAATCATAGCATATAACTCAATATGTGGATGGTAGGTAATCGTAGTGTATGACTCAATATGTGGATGGTAGGTAATCATAGTATATGACTCAACATGTGGGTGGAAGGTAATCGTAGTATATGACTCAATATGTGGATGGTAGGTAATCATAGTGTATGACTTAATATGTGGATGGAAGGTAATCGTAGTATATGACTCAACATGTGGGTGGAAGGTAATCGTAGTATATGACTCAATATGTGGATGGTAGGTAATCATAGTGTATGACTCAATATGTGGATGGTAGGTAATCGTAGTATATGACTTAATATGTGGATGGAAGGTAATCATAGCATATAACTCAATATGTGGATGGTAGGTAATCGTAGTGTATGACTCAATATGTGGATGGTAGGTAATCATAGTATATGACTCAATATGTGGATGGAAGGTAATCATAGTATATGACTCAATATGTGGATGGTAGGTAATCATAGTATATGACTCAATATGTGGATGGTAGGTAATCATAGTATATGACTCAATATGTGGATGGTAGGTAATCATAGTATATGACTCAATATGTGGATGGATGGTAATCATAGTATATGACTCAATATGTGGATGGTAGGTAATTGTAGTATATGACTCAATATGTGGATGGAAGGTAATCAGTATATGACTCAATATGTGGATGGAAGGTAATCGTAGTATATGACTCAATATGTGGGTGGAAGGTAATCGTAGTATATGACTCAACATGTGGGTGGAAGGTAATCGTAGTATATGACTCAATATGTGGATGGTAGGTAATCGTAGTATATGACTCAATATGTGGATAGTAGGTAATCGTAGTATATGACTTAATATGTGGATGGTAGGTAATCATAGTATATGACTCAATATGTGGGTGGAAGGTAATCATAGTATATGACTCCATATGTGGATGGTAAGTAATCATAGTATATGACTCAATATGTGGATGGAAGGTAATCATAGTACTAGTATATGACTCAATATGTGGATGGTAGGTAATCAGTATATGACTCAATATGTGGATAGAAGGTAATCGTAGC